GGAAATAAACCACTAATATTTTAATCCAAAATGATAATATTTTTAGTAAAATATGATGCAAATATGCGATAAAATAAGTCTGATAAAATTATCTTTTAAATCTAAAATTGAAATTTTAGAGCAAAATTTTTGTCTATTAGAAAAGATAAAGGCAAGGAAAAATTTATGGAAGGTAATCGAAATGGAAAACTTGAAATAATTACAAAAAAAATAAAATAAAAAGCCAAAATTATTATTAATGCAACTTTTTTTGTCATTAATTAAGAAGTTTTTCTTTTTTTTTTGTTCGAATAAAATACAAAAACGATTTGAAAAAATGTTATTTTTATAAGAAATTTTAATAAATTTATGCTAATTGAAAATTATTACTACCTGAGCAAGGCTTTCAGCAATATTTGCCAAACAGAGCAACATGAGAGGTATACCTATCATTGCATATAACATTGTCATACCACGTCCCAAAGGTGTTTTTGGGCAGATATGGCCATACCCTAAAAATTATTTTACAAAAAAAAAGTTTAAAGATTAAATGCCGATATGTCAAAGTTGTATATGTTTGATGCGATTATAAACATTGAAATTTTAGGCTTTAATAAAAGTAAGCATAAATTAGATCAAAGAATTGAATCATTTTATGAAAGCTTTTTTTTTTTTTTGTTTTTGATGAAACATTAACTTCCTACTACTCTGATTTTTTGCTTCAAACGCTACAAAATATTGGTGCGCTTTATTCTTTTTTACATTTCAAAAAAAAAAATGCTTTGAACAAAAAAACGAAAAAAAAAAACTAATTTGTCACCGATGTCAATCCTCCACTAGAAATTTGATTTTTGTTTCATTTCAAATTTAAAATAACAAAACAAATTGTAAAATATACATAAAGCAAGTTAAATTATAGGGAAAGTAAAGGTAATTTTGTCATTTTTTTTTGGCTATTTCTTAATTTGTAAATATCTTTAACTTAGGATTAAGTACAATTAACATCCATAATTGTTAACTTAAAATTAGACGTAAACAATATCTATAATTGTTAATGACTAAATAGTGCAATGATGAGTGATAAAATTAATAATAAAAATTTTAATTAGTAAAAATGTAAAAAAANAAAAAAAACTTACCGATAGTTGTGAAAACAGTTATTGAAAATAATAAAGCACCAGAAAATGTCCATTGATAATTTGGTGTTATCTCATCTTTATCATCATAACCTTTAAAATTAAACGAATACGAATAATTTAACAAAACAAATTTTTTTTTTTATAATTTGGCGAAAAATTTTTGTTAATTTAAAAAAAATTTGAAACCTTCAAAATTGATAGCATTAACAAGTTGTAATTCAAAAACTTTGAGCAATTGATGTGCTTTATTTTTCACTTCTTCTTCTTCAATAACATCACTTGAATCAATAAACCTATATAATTCATTTACTACCTGAAATCGAAAAAAAAAACAGCGTTGAAAGAATAAAAGATAAATATATCAAATTAATAGTGTAAATATAAAACATGGAATTGAATCCAAAATTAAAAACTAAAATTAAAAGGACTTAATGAAGTTCTGAAATAGTGTAAATATAAAACATGAAATTGAATCCAAAATTAAAAACTAAAATTAAAAGGAATTAATGAAGTTTTGAGATTTTATTTTAAACGAATAATTAAAAAGAGTTAATAAAAAGGATAAAAATGAATGAAAGATTGAAATAATTCTTGAAAAACTATTTTCAATTTAATAAGATTACAATAATTTTACCTTTTCTAGCTAATTGTCAAAGAAAAAAAACATAATTTTGCTAAAATTTGACAAATTACTATTTTTTTTTTTTAAAGGATATAATAGTGCAAATGACCAAGTAATAAATGTAATAGCCAAGTTGAATTTATAAAACAAATGGCCTTAATGTAAGTGCAAGAGAAAAGTTGCAAAAACGAAACAATAATCAATCATAATAGCTTTTCGGGAAAATCTTTTAAACTTTTATTTAGAATAAGTGAAAAGAATTGAATTAATTAGCTAATTTTGAAATTTCATAAATTTCCTCAAATGTTGACAATGATATTATCAATTATTATCAAAGTTTGATTTGTAATCTCATCGATATTTCCTGTCCTCTTTAAAAAATTATTTAAATGATCGGCTAAGATTTTGAAATTTAGAATGAAGCAATAACTATTTCAAAACAAAATTTCAAAATGGCTAAGATTTCAAAATTTAGAATGGAGCAATAACTATTTCTGGATGAAATTTCAAAATTTTAAACTTTAAACTAATTAATTGGATGCTTTCCTTGATAATGAATTTCACCAATGAATGCATTTTTTTTTCTACAATACATGTATAGAATTATAAGTAAAATATATTATCCTATTTTATGTTTTTTTCCCTTTTTTTTTAAAAAAATTGCTAATCAATGATCAAAAAGTTTTGTCAATTTTGACATTTGCTTTCAAAAAAATTAAAAATGGCGACAAAAAAATCACAATTTTTTAAAAAAAAAAAACGAAAATGGAAGCTCAAAAATTTTTTTTTCCAAGAATAATTTAAATTGATTTATAGGAAAGGAAGTTAAATCTTAGTAAAGATTTTGTGAATAAAACTTTTCAGCAAGTTGTTCGGCAATAATTTACCATAAATTATTATGGAAGATAAAAGATAAACGTTATTATGCAAATTTTGATGAGAAAAAGAATGATAAGATTTATCACTTATAAGAGTCATGCGAACAAGAAATATGATAATAGCTTTGTCTTATTTAAAGCTGCAGTTGTTAAGAATCAATAATTTGCAAAAATGGAAATTAACAAAAGTGGGAGTTAAAAAAAGTGGAAATTTATGTTGTTTTATTAGCATTCTTCTAAAATACCATATAAATAACACTAATTTTTAATTATTTTCCTACATAAAATCAACTACTCACAACTTTAGTTTAAATTATTAATTGCTAATTAATTAATAATAGTTTCCTTTCGTTTAAATTTATATTATTATTTAATTTAAGTTAACATTATGTGTTATTCATTTAATTACGATAAAATTGTAATATATTAATGGTTAGTCTTTTAGGAAAAAAAAATGATTTAATTTTTAATGAAATATTATAATTTGTACATTTCATTTAGTAATTTTACAAATAAAAATTTTGATTTCAAGACTTTTGCCTCAAATAGTAAAAGTATAAACAATGTTAAGATGGAAAATTTGATGAATATTTTGAATAAACTTGCCGTCCATGTATCATTTTCTATATGCCCCTGAAATTTCAATTCTTCCGGGTATTCAATTTCGCGAAACATAAATGCACCAAGAACAGCATATGCAGCAACTAATGCGCACAATCCAATATGCGAAATGGTAAATCCAAAAAACTATAATTAATTAATTGATTAATCTTTTTTTTTTCTTAAGCAAAAATCTAAGATAATCATTTTTTCATGCTACTTTCTCAAATTTAAGGAGAATTTAAATTGTTATTTTAAATTAAATGTATGACTAGAAATTAAAATAAAATTTTGTAAAGCTTTGAAAAATCAACCAAAAATCCATTTGCGTCTTATTTTTTGAGTTGTTGGTGTTAACTAAAAGAAAAAAAAAGTTAACGCATTAAATTTACAATTGAAAAAAAAAATTTCCCGAAAAAAAAAAGCTTTGCTACGATTCTATCGCTTCAAAACATTTCTTTCGAGTTAAAAAAAAAAAAGAAAAACTAACAAAATTGACAAACTTTTTCTCGAGTTAATTAAAAAAACTAACAAGGAAAAAGTAAAAATAGGAATTAATAAAGCATTTATTAAAATTCAATTTATTGGATGAACAATTGTAATTGTATTATTTCATGCATAATTTTAAGTTTAAATGAGCAATATAAAAGAAGTAAAAATAATTGTTCGAAAAAAAAAATTAAATTAATTGCTTTAATTATTAGTTGAAAATCATGCTAATATCAATTATAAAATAAAATATATTTGAATAGCAATAATTTAAATTTAATTCAGCAATTTAAAATTTGAAAAAAGAAAGCATATCATTTTTTGAAATTTTATTATTCACTAATATCAGTTACGAAAAATATATTTGTATAGTAAAAATTTAAAAAATTAATTGAATAATTAAAAAATTCAAAAAAATATACCTTTTTAATAAATCGAATTGTTTGCAAACAACATAATTGAATTTCGTCGTGCATTTCCAATGGGTGCGTAAACATACGCACCCCAAAATAATTTTACGCAAAAAAATAATTCAAATTTATCGTAATGAACAAAAAAAAAAAAAAGAAAGCAAACTTTTAAAAAGATTTTCAAAATTGATTGAATGCCAAAAAAATTTGATTTTTAAATTTTAGGAATTTTTGAAAAAAAAGAAAAAAAAAATAATTAAACATTATAGCATTTCATGACTAATTTACATCAAACAAAAATAGAGAAAGATATCGATAGGAAGAGAGAGAGAGAGAGAAAAGGATTTGATGGATAAGTATTGAATGAAGGAATCAGTTGAATGAAAGATTATATGATTCGATTGTTATCGATGATTCTTCGTCGTACATCCTTACTTGCTTAAGGCTGGTTCTGTTGTCGTTTATCTGTTTCAGTATTTGGGAAACGAATGAATGGGCATCCATCAGAGTGATGTGAAATAGCAATCTTAGCTTAGGCATAGGCTTAGGCTTAACTCAATAGAAGCCTAAGCTTAGGATATGCTTTAGAATTGGGATAGAATTTAGCATAGATAGAAAGCAAACATGCTATCACATCTTTGTTATCCTCACAAACAACCATTTACCATTCCATTCTAAATCTTTTACAAAAAAAAAAAAAACTTTTGCCTCCTAAACTTAGAAGAAAAACATTGGCCATCTAGGCTATTTATATTTTCTTTTTCATTTCTTCTAACTTCTTATTCCATATTTGTTCATTCCTTATTCCTTTTGTATTTCTTTTTTTTTCAGTTATTAAAAGAAAAAAAAGAATTATAAAACTGTGAGAAATGTATTGGAATGATTAACTAGGCTAGCTAGGCTTTCTAAATATAAAAACATTATTGGGACATAAATAAAAAGACTATAAATGATACAGCTTTACGTTCTTCTTACATTAAAAGTAACATTAGATTAAAGTAAGAAGAAAGTAAAGCTTTAATCAGTTTATAATTTTAGGCATATTTATTGCCAAATGCTATGCTATGGCCTTTTTGGGTTCTAAATCCCAAAGTAAAGCTTTATATCTTTTCAGGCTCTTTCTATTACTTTTCTCTTTCTCTCTCTCCCTCTCTTTTATCCTCTAACAATTCATCTTTTCCATTGAGGAATTTATCTTTTCATAGTCTGCAATGACAATTATTCGCCATTAAAGGCCAAGAAATTTTTATCAATACAATTAATGTACATATATAAGTTTACATACATATATATATATATATATATTTTAATTCCTTTATCAGGCTATCAGTCTAGTAGTATGCAAATTCATATGATAATAATTATAGAATTGCTACGATTTGTTATATTTTTTTTTTAACAAAGTATTACAGATAAATTGATATTGCTTTAGGAATTTTAAATATTCATTAACATTAACAAATTATTAAAATTATGTAAAAAAGTGTAGCAAAGGAAAAAAAAACTTAAAATTATAACTAAAAGTAAAATGAAATGAAATGAAATTCGAACAAAAATGAATTTCATAATTTTATTTAGTTTAAATTAATTTATAAAATATAACAATTATGTTCATAAAGGAATGAATAACAAATACGATATCAATGGAATCAATCATATTATCTCATTGATTTTTGCTTTTTTTTATCAAAATTTTCAATATGAAAAATTTCCTAATACTATTCATATCAATATGCACATTATACTGTAATTTATTAATGTGATACTGTATTATAATTTATATCATTATATACTGTATTGTATGCATGCAATACCATGGAACAATTTTTAAAAATTGTATAGCACAAGTTAAATTGCAAAGAAATTTATTTCTATTTCAGATCTTTCAATTTATTAAAATTTTTTTTAACTTTAGACCAAACAAAAGAAAAAAAATGCAAATTTATCATGTTGATCTTTTAAAAAATATTAAAATTAATTTGCTTTAATTTCTATTATTTCTCCAATTTTAAAAACTTATGTTTAAAATTTCATTTTTATATCAGACTTTTATGAAATAATTCAATCACAACAATATCCATCAAAATTGAACTAAAATTTATTTTATTTTCATTTCATAATGAAATTATGGTGCATAAAAATAATTGCCTTTGACAATTTTTGAAATTGGTGCGTCACAATTCTTGTCACTGTCCGTAAATTGAGCATTCATTAAACGAAGGATGAAATCACCAGATATATGCGCAAATTCATAATTTCCAACTGATGCTACGCAATCAATTTCACTAAAATAGAAAAGGATTGTAATTTTTTTTTTTTTTGCTCATACAAAATCAATTTCCATTACAAATAAAACAATTAATTAATAATTTGGGATAATATAGTAAAATAAAATAGGTAAACAAATAAAGGTAAATAAATAAATAATCAAAATAATTCCAAATAAAAATCTGATAAGATATGACATTTTGAGAATAAATTATTTTATTCCTCAATTAAAAAAAAAAGGAAATTTATTCATCTAATGAAAATTAATCATTCACTTTTAGTCTTTTATTAGAAGGATTTTATAAATAGCAAAAAATATAAAAATAAATAAAACCTGTTAAGACAATTTAAAATTGTCTGTACAAAATTTGTGAAATGTTGGGAAGCCTAATTGATGATTTTCTCCGGATATTTCTCCGGACATATGCTATAAATTTATTCAGTATGTTTGGTGATCAGATTTTCCGGAAATATTTGTTAATGGCATAAAAGGATCAGGAAGCTTTCATAATATTTGGATGGTAACTAAAAAGGAGTCTAACCTTTTCATCTTAAGATAGCAAACGTGAGGTGTCATACAACGTGAAACTTTTAACTTAAAATGTTCCTTGTTAATTTCAATTATACATTTATCAAAATCATCCAACGTTCCAGTTAAAGTGCTATTCATCCGTTGTTTCGAAATGGTTTGAAGCGTTGTTTGAAGTCGTTTTTGAAAATTCCTGAAAACGAATTTTTGATTTTGAGAATGATTACGTTGGCCAAAAAACTGAAAAGTTTGAAAATTCACGTCATCAGATTCATGTGAAATGTGTCACGCATGCCCTTTTTTACTTATCACGTATCATTTTACGCGGCTTATCATGCCTTTTGAAATGCCAAATAGTCTCACGGAATTTTCGATAAATTAAAAATAATTGAAAAAATGGAATTGAAATCATCATCGAGTTTAAATTATTCGCTTAATTAAACGAACTATATTTAATTAACAAATATTTGGAAATTTTTCTTCGTTTTTCTCTTCAAACGCAAGGGACTTTATTTAAATAAACTAAAATTAAATAAACTTAATTAAATAAACTAAAAAAAGCAAAATCAACAAAAAATTAATTTAGAAGAAAGTGGCTATTTACCTATTAAGTAATTGCACCAAATTATTCATATTAATAAATTGTCCTATTGCTTGGTCTCGAAATGAATGTCGCATGTGATAAAAATGTGCTTGATGACATGGAACACGTACCTGTCAACATTCCTATTCTTTATGTAAACATTTTGTTTTATTCTTTTAAAATTAACCTTCAGAAAAATAACACAATTCATTAGGGAAAGAAAAAAAACGAAATTTAAATTAATATTAAATAATACGAAATAACTAGAAAACTTTTTCTTCCTTTTTCTTTTTTAATTAATAATTCTCTCAAATATACTTGTACATAACCAAGACGATTAATCCCACTTTCATGCATATTGACAGTATCCACACGACCTGAAATAACAATCAACAAATTATGTCGTTAATGAAATTTCAAATTTGCATTAAATTGTCGAAAATTCACGTAATTAATGACTGATGTCACATACTATAATATACATACTAAGATGTCACATACTAATGTGTCACATATTAATCTGCGAATAATTGGAAAAAAAAAAGTTCGAAATATAAATGATAAATTGAACATTAAAATTGGTGATAAGTAATGATAAGAAATGTTATATGATATGAAATGATTAGCAAATGATTTTTGAATAATGCATTTTACGTGGACAAATATATTTTACGTAATCACGTAGAGAAGCTTTTATGTAATCGCGACATTTGCGCACATAATGTATACTGTAAGTTAATCACTTTAAATTGCTTGAAAACAATGAATAAAATACGATTTCTTTTTTTTTGCATGTAAAATTTAACTAAATATTTTACGTAATAAGTATAGAAGGCTTTTTCTTAAGTGATTGCGACATTTGCGCAAATTTAATTAATTGAATAAATAAAGTATATTAGTCAGATATGAAGGAATTTAGCAAAGCAGTTATTTCTTCTTTTAATAAATTATTTTATTTATTTTTTTAAATAATTCATTTTTAAATTTGAATTATTATTGACAAACTTTAGAAAATACGCTTGGTGATTTGTTTATAATCGTTTAAATGCAATTAGTGCAATCGTTTAAGTACAAATTAAATACAAAATATAATACAAAATAGAATTTAAATGCAAAATACAATTTAAGTACAAAATACAATTTACATGCAAAATACAATTGAAATACAAAATAAAAATGGATCAAAGATTCATAAGTTTAAAATAAATTTTAAATTAATTTTAAGGATGAAATGAATTATGAAACTTACTTGCATTCACGATGACACGTGTTTTCATACGCCATACTGTACATTCTTTTTTCCTATTTGAATTAATTAAGAAACTGAAATTAAAATTATCCAATTGCAATCCTTGTTCATTTTCCGGTAGTACCATTCGTACATCACGATGCTCAAAGAGGAACGATCCAGCTTGTGGATGCTGATTTGCAAGATTCTAAAAATATAAAATTTAATAAAAGGTAAAATTAAATAGTAATTTAAATTAATCTTATATTATTTTATTATACTAACCCTTATTTACGCTTTATTTTTTTAAGAAAAAAAATCGATTCAATAGGTTAAAGTTATTTTTTTTTTTTTTTAGCTAAAAACATTATTTTTCATTTAACCATTTCACTTTTAATGTTTGTTACAAAAATAAAACGATATTAAATGTTTTTTTTTCAAGCAAAAGTTAAATTATCAATGAAATTTAAGCTAATAAAATTTAAATGAAATTCACAAAGGAAAAGTTTTCAAATGCTTAATCATTTAATAATTTTTCTTCAAACACAACAACCTGTAATATGTCAATAATCACTGTTGAATAAATTTTCATTGGTTGTATTGGAATTAAAATATCATCGAAATCTGTGAATGCTATCATTTCTGCCCATGGCTTAGCAAAAAGTAAACAATTCACATGAGATTCTTCAATTCCTGAAGAAAGTAAAAGGAAAAAAAAAAGCACACAAATTATTTCAATTGAATAAACAAGAAAGATCAGTGACATTTGCTTAAATTAATGAATAATTACTGAAGAAAAAAAAATTTCAAAAAGTTCAATTAAAATTCCATTTTTAAAAATTAAAATATATCATTTTGTTTTTTTTATTTTTTTATTTTTATTTTTTTTTTTGTAGTTTTAATCATAATAAAATAAAATATTTTACCTCTTGATAAAACTAAACCATTTGGATTTTTTATCCGTTAAAATTGGCCACTTTGGCCAATGACGTATTATTACTAATCCTGAAATTGTCAACTAATTTGTTGCCAACCTATTTCATTTTTTTTTTTTTTTTATAAAACAAAAATTTCATCAATTTACATTCATTATTATTGTTGTTACTTATCATAAAATTTAATTCATCACTTCATTTTATACTTAATAAAATTATCAGAATAGAAAAAAAATTATTTTTTTTTCCATCAATATTCATTATCAATTATCAATTATGAAAATTAAATTAATAGAAATGAAAATTAACATGAACATGCCATTATGCTCATATTTTTTAAGTATATTAAATGCATCTTTTGAAATGGATTGTATCGGGATGATAATTTTAGTAGCACCAAGTGCAAGCCATATTTCAATACCAAGAAGTAATATGCGCCATTCGATAAGAGCATATGTTGGTGCCATACAAACGACAAGTTTATGTCGCTTCTCTTCCGATGTCATTTCAATTGGTATTTTAAGTGATCCTTTCACATTATCTTTTGTGCTTATTCTACAATTTTTTTTTTTTTTTAAAAATTCAATTTTCAATGGGATGTCTTAAAGAAGAAAAAAAAAAAAGGAAAAATACTAGCAAAAATGATTGAAAAATATTGAATTTTGGAAAGTAATTATATTACATTAAAATTGTTCAATTAATAAAAAGTTTCATTTTTTTATAAAATTTAAAAAATTTCCAAAATAAGATAGACAATTGCATATATTTGAAAGTAGTTATATTATCTTAAAATTATTCAATTGACAGAAATGTTTGCAAAATTTCACAAAAAAAAAGTTTCACAAGTTAAAAATTTTAAAAATTACCAAAATGGAATAAACAATCTGAATTATCTATGCTAATCAATCAATAAAATAACACAGCAAATATTCAAATTTAATAATTTAGCAGCATTTATGATATGATAATTAAAATTTAAACGAAATAACTCAAGAAAAACGTTTCAAATGTATTGTAAATTTTTAAATTTTCAATTCTAAAAATATATTACAAAGTAAGACGTAGTAAGCTGAAAATAAATTATTAGAAAGTATTTATTAAAATTAATGATATCGTAATATTATTTTATAGTATAAATACTTGACCAGGAAGTATTTGGTAAAATTAATGATATCATGATATTATTTTATAGTATATAAATATTATATAAATAAAAGCATATAAATATTTGTACGAAATTCTAATTTTGATTTATAATTTTAATTTTAATTTTAATTTTATCGAAGAATAATTGGTACCATAAAATAAACAATCATTATTTTAGATAATAAAAATTACCGTATGAATGATAAGGATTGATTTGCAACGTTACATTCAGCAATAAAACCAGCCATCGAGCAAATATCATTTACAAAACGTTTTCCTTGATGTATTCGTTGGATATGAGCTTGGTAAACAAATTGTTTACCATTTTGTGTTGTTGAAAAACAATATAAGCGATATGTTTGTTGTACATCACCAAGAAATTGAAATATCTGAAGTATTAATAGTAATTCATTTTATTTCTTTCTTAAAATTTTTAAAATAATTTTGTGAAATTTTAAAATTTATCATTAATCTAAGGCTAATCTAATAATACGATCATATACATATAGTAACCATAAATGAATTAGCTAAAATTCGAATTCATTTGGAAATATAAATGATAGTAAAATGACCACATAATTTCCTGGGATATTTTGTTCGATGTGATTTCGATGAAAAGCACCAAAGATTATTGGCCTAGATGGATTTTGTCGTGATAAAAATGCATCACCCATATTTTTTAATGTCCAAATATTGGTTGTACGGTAATAGAGTGCTATAGCACATAATAATCCAGCTAATATTAAGCAGATTTTTGAAAAGAATTGAATTAAGATGAGAAAATTGATGCGTAATTGGTATGGTAAGTAGAAAAAACGGAATAAACGTCGATAAATTAACATTATCGATGAATTCATCAAATTGATAACATAAATTGGAACTTATTTCATTCCTGTAACTTTATCAATTTATCATTTTAATCAATGAAAATGTTTATTTGCCTTCATGAATAAAAAAATTATTTTATTCTTGTATTTTAAATCATTTTTAATCACTTTATTCCTGCAGGCGCATTTGTTCCATGTTATGAGTTACGACAATTGACATATTATAGAAAAGCAAAGGAATTTAGCAAATTAAAGAAATATGATAATCTTCGAATAATACAAACACACATACACACACACACACACACACACATGTACGGGCGTCATGAAAATTAAATTAAGAAACAGAAAAGACCTAACAATTCAAGTATTTGAGTTAGCAAAAGGAATCTCAATAATTTAAGTATTTGAGTTAGCAGAAGGAATCTCAACAATTCAAGTATTTGTGTTAGGAAAAGGAATCCTAATAATTCAAGTATTTGAGTTAGGAATCTTAACAATTCAAGTGTTTGAATTAGCAAGAGGAATCTAGTAATTCAAATATTTGAGTTAGCAAAAGGAATCTCAATAATTCAAGTATTTGAGTTAGCAGAAGGAATCTCAACAATTCAAGTATCTGTGTTAGGAAAAGGAATCCTAATAATTCAAGTATTTGAGTTAGGAATCTTAACAATTCAAGTGTTTGAATTA